TGACCATCTTGCCAGATTAACGAATTTACTGGGTGGCGATATTAAAAACATCTCTTGTCCTTGGCAAGATGTCGTACCGGAATACCGTAAAAAAATCTACGAGCAATGGACAGCAGAAAGAATACTTGTCACTACTACAAAAGGTGCATGGTATGCTGGTATCAATAAAGAAGTTGGCAGAAAACCTTGGTTCGCTATATCCAATGACTACCTCCAGAGGAAATTCTACACTCAAATAAATAGATTGAGATTTGGACATTGTCGATTTAAAGCTCACTTACATCGTATGCATATGATAACATCTCCAGTATGCACCGAATGTTCAACTCAAGAAAACCAGACACTTGAACACATCTTTTTTTCATGCCCAACCTACAATATCCAGCGACTCGTTTTGATCCATCACCTCCTGAAAAGATACAAGACTATCCCGCCTTCCCTTCAGGATCTCTTAGCTTGCCCAGAAAACTTTGTACCGATCTATGACTATATTAGCTCCACTCTTGGAGAAATCTGATTTGACCCTCCCGGATATGTAAAATGATAACCCTGGACAAGACAAAGAAATTTAAAACTAAAGATCTGGCTATCAGCCTTTTAAAAAAAATAAAATAAACAAGACAAGATGGAATAAAATGAAAACAAAAAGAAAAGATTAGGCTTTGCCTTATAAAATAATATAACCCAAGATTTGGCTGTATGGCTTAGTTCCTTCGCCTGTCCCATGGACGAATTATAATACTACTACTACTACTTGAAAAATTCCTAAAAATATTGCATCTTCTTTACGTTATTTTACTAAATCTTAACTTGCTTTTTCTGCAGATGTTAAGAAATAGGCTTCATTAGATTATTATCTATCAGGATGACCACAAAATGCAACTTATTTCCGATAGTGTCAAATACCCTATTGCTAAAAATCGGCTTCACTTTGTTATTCAGCGAACTCCGTCTTTACTTTTTATTTGGTTTGAGGTTACGGTGTTTTTACAATGATCAAACGACGATATGCAACCGAAAACATTTGTTAACTTGGATTATCACTTTTAACACAACTTTTTAAAGGAACATTTATTCATTTATTTATTTATTGGATGTTTATAACAAATAAAAAACAATAGTATCATTATGGACCCCGTCAGGCACAGCAATTTGGAGAGAGGAACATTAGAGAAATAAAGAGTATAATCACAGTTTTCACGGAAATAATATATTCCAAACTAACTATTGACGTGCACTGACAGTTAAAAAAAATGAGCTAGTGAATTTCAATCAATCCATAACAATGATCCAATCCAACTAAACAGTGGATTGCAAATGCAATGGCTGTTTGTTCAACTAAACGTTTTTCTTTTTAGTGATACGAATATAACATAAGTCTTTTCTTCCGCTCTTATAAAGGAGTTATTTAATTAAATAAATAAAAAACCAATCACAAGTAAAAATAGATTTAATACCATTTAATAAATCTAAAGTATTACAATACTAATCCGTTTCACAAAACAAAATTACATTAATTTTTACCTTATGAAGAATATTTGGGGGTCTCTTTCACATGTGTTCACGTTTTTACCTACAATTTAAGTTTCCTAGCACCTGAAATTTCTGAAAATCTATTCCATCGATATTATACTACAGGAAATTATGGCGTCTTTTCTTCTTAATAACAATAAGTACCATATTCATATTATATTCTAATGTTAACAAAAATATTTTGTGAGACAGCTATGGTATGCACTGACTATTAACTGTTATCTAAGAACAACTCCGTTACGTAAATATATGCTTTAATCCACAGAAACATAGTGTAATATTGTAGTAAAATAAATGTTCTATTAACCACACCCGACATTCTGGCGAATCCTGATATTCCAGTTTAGAGGCAAGTGTAAAGAATGAGATTTTTTAACAAAATCGAATACTTAATGTGTAAAATAACTGGTTTATAAAGCCTTTCTGGACTTTCTAACCGCAGCAATTGTATTTTTATTATATTTCCTTAAGGATAATATTGCCATCCGTCTGTGTCTCTTTGGATAAATTTTCTTTTAAAGCATGTCTGTGTGGGCTTTATCAAATTTGCAATTAGTGCACAAATTCCTGAGTTTTAGAACTAAGCAAAGAGGTTTGTTTGAAGTTTCCTATTTTAATATTTATTAACGTTTCCCCAGTAAATATACAAAAAAGGGGTGTGATTGATTCTGTATTCCATTACTGTAAATCAATATAATTTAAAAAAATTTTTTAAATATGTCTGCTGTTCCGGGTAAAATACGTATTAATTTCATCCGATGATAGATTGGGCAACAAGCAATATATTAATTAAAATTAAAATAGGTGACAACAAATATCGCTCTTGACTTTTATTCTCTACTAGCTGACCCGACAGACTTCGTCCTGTCAAAAAGATTTGTAATGTGGCAGTTTTTTTGCTTACGTATTTAAAAAAATTCTCCTGAACAGAACCGTCACCCTGGTGATAGGGCGTTGTGAATAAAAAATAATTAAATAAAACATATACCTATAAGGATTTAAAAGTAAGTAATTCACAGACAACTTTTTTTTTTAAATTTGATATGACTTGAAGTCAAATCCTTTTAAGCCGTACGAATTGTTTTATTTATACAAAAGAAACGCGAGTTTCGGAACGCGACATTAAACTCCTCCAACTATGTATTCTGTGCTCCAACGCACACACGCACATTGTTTTGATAGATATGATCTTTGACGTTAGGAACACACCTACATTGCTTAGACAACAGTGAGTGCTTGTAATTTAATATGAACTTTATACCATAGCAATAAAGCTCAAATTGACTACGTTTTAGTTACAAATCATTTGTATGGGAAAAGAAAAGGGCTATTTTTAGGGTTTTTCCAGCAATAATTCTAATTTTTCTCGCCGTAAAAACCATCCTTGAACTTCAACGAACATTTTAAAAAAAGATTTGGCCAAATTGGTCGAGGCGTTGTTGAGTTATGCGCTTACCAACACATTTTGCGATTCATTTTTATATATAATAAAGAGAAGATAATAATAATCTATGCTCAGTATCCAAAGCAAGACAATTTTGAATTTTCAAACTCTATTACTAAATATTGTTTTTGTTTATGCATACGCCCTAATACCTTATATATGCATTGTCTGAGTTTACGCTAGAAAATCTGTGGTTTATCAAGCTGCTTCAGCTACTACGGTTGTACAGATGACAATATCATGCTTACAGGGTATATCAACTTTTTATGGTTAACAGTACATACACACATCTCTCTATATATAAATATAATGATATGATTTTAAAATACATTTAAGAATAGAAGTTGAATTTCAATTCAGTGGGTACAATCAAAAGCACGTCAAATTAATACATAAACCCAAATTGCATCGATTTGAAATCCTTAATTAGTTAATAATTAAGTTCAAAATTGTTTGCAGAAATTGGGATTTCTATATTAACTTGATGTGTTGCTGTGTGTATATTTCTTAAGCATATATATCATAAATGTAACAATATAGACAACAAAATAGAAACATTTCAGAAATCACATTCTAAGTTATAAAAATACAAATAAAAATCATAAATGCAACAAATTATTATGCAAAATCAAAACTAAATGGTATGGACGGAAATAGAAATCACAATGACCGAATAAAACATGAAATTCATATTCATACAAACGAAAAAAGTAATATTATTATTATGCAAATAAAAGTGTCAATACTAGATTGAATAAAACAGCCGAAAATTAATACAATAAACAATACACTACGAGGTGATCACACAGTGACGTCATTGTTCATAACAATAATGGAAACCACTCGCAGTAAAGACATCGTCACACAGAAGAAAACAGAGAAGCGAAAGTACAACAATTTATTAAAAAAAAAAGAAAAAGTCAGACACACATATTTCAATTAATAATTAAAACAATAAATTGTTAATGAGCTCGGGAAATGATTTAAACGATTAAAAATTGTACAATCCACCAACATACCAAGTTTAGCAAAACAGCCGACTCTCAACGCTCAATAATAAATCTTAACATCTGAAATGTTAAGTTTAAAATCACGTAGGTACGAAAATTTGAAAATTTACGCTGTGCACTTTGTGTATTTTACAATTCTAATAGTTAATTAAAAGCAACATTACTTTTTAGAACTAAGTATTGATATATTGAGATCAAATAATTATCCCTAATTATCAATAAATTTCCCTGGTATAAAAAAAAAACACAGCACTGTGATTAGTCTGATCTAACTAACACTTCATCGCACACAAGAAGCACTAAAAGTTTCAAATCAAACAAACCTAAGTGCAAATTAATATATTTAAATAATACTAACTAATCAATTAAAATTATCACAATAAATGTGTATATTTACATGTTTGTGTATTAAAAATAATGTCAATATTCAATTATAAATTAATAATATAATAATCTATTATTAAAATACATCTTCATAATATTAACTAGATATCTTACTTTTCATTGCATTTAGTGTATTTGAGAATACTTGTAATAATTTTAAACGTATTTTAAATATTGTTAAAGAAAAGACAAGGGAAGATATAAGTTTTGTTTAAAATTATACATATAAATATATATGATTATAAAAAACTATTGGTTAAAAACTCCTTTAATTCTTGTGGAATGAAGTAGGACAAATAAAGAGGTATAAATTGTTACAATTCATCTTAAAGCAAGTATTCTCGTGTTCCTTATTCCGCTTGCAATAAGAGCAATTATCAACAAGTATACATATTGTACGAGAATAATATATTCCCGTAACAATACGCTTGCGTTCGATTCAGTATCAAATCGATACGCACATTATTAAACGGAATAAGCGAACTTGAATAGTGTACTTATTAAATAATAAATAGGCAATAGCTATTTATTAGGTAAATGTAATGAATATCTGAAAAGTTTCAATACTGAAACAGACTGCTCCGCTCTAGCGTTATCATAAGCTGTAAGATATTATGTAAACACACCTATACTCATGTAGGTATATTACCATCCCGCTTTGGTTACTTCATCAAGAATTTTTCATTATTTCAATTAAGTGAAAGTATTGTAAAACAAAATCCACACGTTAATATATTTTCTGATAATAAAATTTCTTGCGTCTTAGAAATGTTTTCATACATTTCTAGATACAAGATAATTTTTTTATAAATAATGTATATAAACATTATATCACAATAATGTTCTGCATCAATTAATAAGAGGTTTCGGAGACAATCTAAATAATTTCTTGTACATATTTGATGAACCACAAAAATATTAATGTTACCATTATTATTAATTAAAATTCTAAGGTGATTTTAAAAATTTTGTTTCTAATTTCATAGACGCTTAATATTAAATATAGAATATTATAAATAATCAAATTTTTATAATTAGTCAATTAAATTCTTCACTCTAATTTTGATGACAACATTTGAGTCTCCAATAATGTTAACATCTACTATATAAAATTGTTCAGTATGCCCTAATGATCATATGAATGATTCTGTATTTTTCATTGCTCCAAACTTTCCCCGCATTGCCGGAGGATGCCTCAAAGAAGCAATAAAAAAATCTTCAGACCATACTCTCCAAATTCAACCCTTTAACTAAAGCATAGACTGTGGGTCATATATTTCGATGATTGATTGTTATAAGTGGATGAAATTATATGAAATTTCCATGTCAGCACACAAATTACTGATAAAGGTTTTATTTCAATCACCAATGAACATTTGTCAAGTATTGGTTTGTGTAATAGTAATCACATCAATAAAAATGGCGACACATCTTGCGCAATGAAAGTTTCATTTTCAATTGCCGCAAGAATTAAAACTTTTTTAATTATTTCAGCAATCGTATTTAACTGGTGTTTGAATGGAAACGTATTTATTATATACGTGCAATCTAACCTAATAAGGAGGTTAAATTATAATTATCTCGTCAAGACGCCAATTACCAATATCCACCTACTTTACGTGTATTTAATTTAAACACCGATATTATCAAGGTGAGCTCATTACTACTCTGCTCGTCTGGAGCGTCGTTCACAATTTGGTATGTTTGACCGTGTCCGTCCAGTAGTTTTGTATAGTCATCGCTTCCAAAGAGTTGAGGAACGAATCATTGTCCAAGCTGTACATCTCCTCGGAATTGTCCTGAAATGTAATGGGATTGGGATTATTAAATTGTTTTTAAATTGAAATTCAAAAAAATATCACAATCACATTTTTTTTTCTTTTTACTTGTATGATTGTATTAAAAAAAAATATGTACCCTTATTGTGCTGTCGTCAAGATACCCGCTGGAGTCGGGGTTAGAACATTTATCATTCAATGTCTGCGGTTTATTCAGGTATCGTCTTCTGTAAAGTACAAAAGCTGTGCTGCCGGCCAACGCAGCCAACACCAACGCCGCGAACGATATGCCAGCTATCGCCCCCATGTCCATATCCCCTTCCCCTGGGTCTATCACTCTTCTAGAAGACTCCACGTTAGGTGGTATCCGAGTCTGAAGGAAGGACGTCTCAAGAGACAGAGGTTTCTCAGTCACGATTTTGCTCTCCGAAACACCTTCCACGTTCGGTCCGCCTTTCACTAAATCGGGTCTAGTCAGATTGCGTTTCTTTGACGCAAACGTTGAATTCTGTGTTTCAGTGACGTTGGAAGTTACAGTAGAATTAGTGATTAGTGTGTCGTCTTTCGATTTTGTTATGTTAGTGATATCTGTAGTATTTGCAGGTACCCATTGTATAGAGGGATGCACGATTTCTGGTGTCGTGGCCTCCGTGCTAGTGCTTGTTGTGGTTCTCTCTGTCTCTCTCTCTGTTTGGTTGATAGTAATGTTTACTATAGTCCTGGGAGTAGACGCTGGAGGCGTCTTCGTGAAGTACATCGCCCGCGGTTGCCGCTCTGGTGTTCTTTGTTGTTCCACGTCGGTGGTCATATGTTGCAGTTCTTCAGATTGGGGCGCAGCTAGAGTAGATCCACTGCTCTCTGAAAACAACAAACTTTTATTAAGTACATTTCACAGCAAAGTTTATCATGTGCGTTATTTCTCGTTGAAAAAGTATAAATTCGAGATAAAGTTTTCATATACAAAATGTAAAATGATTTGTGTGACTAAATGCCTTCGAACTTCGAATTTTGTTGTTAAGACATTCAGTGAATAGCCATCGAAGTCCGCTAGTAATGTCGCCGTAATAGATATTTGACGGAGAACTTATGTGAAAAGCATTCTTGTTCGTGCTAAAGTTTCATGTTGACTTCTTTGTTACTGTGGATTACTGGTCACAATAAATGTAAATGTCGTTTTTAAATGGAATCTTGTTGTAAACGGTTTTTAATGGTTGTGCGTTGTAATAAGATTCGAATTTGAATATTGCATCGAGATACATGCGGCCTTTAGGTACACGTACCTAAAGGCCGCCTAGATCTAAGCGTTACTAAATATTCCAAAAAGCTTTTAACCATTAAAAATGAAATTTTAGGATTCGACGTGCAGTTTACATTGTTTACGCAGCTAAGAATAACAGAAGTAACCAAGAGCAACAGTTATCTTAATAGTATCAAATTATCGGAGTGAAAAACTGCTTTCTTCGAGTTTTTGATTACACTTATGACAGTTTTTTGTCTAATAAAAGCTTATGAACTAGTAATAGGCCGTTATTAATATGAACGCTCTTTTATTCAGTTCTAGCCGTAATCAATCTTTCTTGGACTTTCATTAAATATACATTGTCTGCCACTCATTTATTTTAGAACAGCAGATTTTGCCGTTCCATTTTATTTTCTAAGAGGATTTTATCCATTGATTTGGAGTACGTATGACTATCAACTGTCAAACCGCCCATAAACGTAGAAAGATAGATATACTTAGCTCGTTTTCGTTTAAAGTAAAAATGGTCACGTTAGTTACGGCGTGTTACATGTAGAGGTACGACTTACGAGCCAGCATATAACACTTAATTGTATTTTAAATGTAAAAAAACAATTGCTTTAATATCTATGTTTTTTCAATCAAACTTGGAAACCATTATGATTATTGCGGAATTGCTAACGTGACCTTCGCTACATAATGGCACTTTATCGATTTTTACTAAAGAAAGAAAGGTAAACTAATAACGAGAGGTGATAGAACTTGATTCTATATTTTCCTACCTAGTTTTCTCACTTTTTTATCACTATTTATTAAGACTCTGAATGTTCAGTTTTAGGCGTTTTGTAGGAATACTTTTTGAGAAGTGATATGAAAAATTTTATGGAATCAGTTTCCTTGTTTAAGTGGTTCATCGGCACTAGGCACATTATTATGTCGTGCAACATTTGCGATTCACGAAACGATACAATTGCGTGACAATAGCAACATAAACATACATAAACTGTGTAATTAATGTAATCAGAGGTAATCATAATCATGAATATTTTTTTTTATCAGTGAAAACCTTATGTAAACATAACGATATAATAAAGTGATATTGGGAGTCTTAAGTTATATTTATTGCCCTTTACTCGTACTTTCCTTTATACAGAAGTCTGTTTGTCTTTTAACAGTTGATTAATATTCGAAAACGTTTCTATAGAACTGAAGGTTTATTGTTATCTTAATAATAAATTTACAGTTATATTAAGACAATACAAAGCACTAATCTCAATCAAATAAAGCTAAACATGGCTCAAATCTAATATGACTTAACGAACTTTTTCATTGTTCCCTTTTAATAACATTTTAATGATTGTAAAATCTTCTTTTTATTCTTTACTATTGTAAAGATTACAACCGAATTTGTTTTGAATAAAACCTAACGACTCATATGGAGCAAAATATCTAATTATAGATATCAAATTATATCTCGCTTGAAGAGCTTTATTGTTATCCTTATTGGAGTTGTCACACACAATTGTCGGCTATAGCACACAGCGTTTCCCATTGTACAAAGTATTTACCCGTCCGAAGTGTAGGCCCTCAAATTAGGAGCGAAACTCAATTATTCCCCCCGCCGAAATGGACGCGTAGCCTCGAATACAGCCTGATTGGGCGTGCCATTACCAAAACACCTAGTCATATTTGTGATAGATTTTTTTTTGATAAACCTCCTTGACTTTTATACTAAATAGCTTTCCGCCGGCTGTTTCGCCCGCGTGGTATATAAGGAATTGTTTGTTTGGATATCCATTCATATTATGACACGGATATTATTGTAATGACAAATTGAATAGTAGACAATGATTATTATGGCAATGTTTTAATTCCTTATACAAAATATCACTCCCATTTTCATCTCTTTATTTGGTATTTTACGGAATATAATATAGGCTATATTCACGGCATATGAAGTAGGTAGCTGAAAGAATTTTTAAAATCGATCCAGTAGTTTTGGAGTCTTTTCGATGCAAACAAACATAATAACAATATTTTTTTTTTATCTTTTAAATATTAGTATAGGTTTTATGTATAATAATTTTGGAAAGTTCTTTATTCGATAAAGTAGCAGTAGTATTCGACAAAGTATACATATGTAAGAAACTTATTTTCGATTTGTAAAGCTGATTTAGTGTTATACATTATGGCAAATAACATGTATTATTTGGAAATCCTGTAAATTTTACTATCGTTTGTTCCGATAAGCATTTGGGTTACTCAATAATTTGCAGACGAACGTAATTTTATCGTGAAAAAATAATTCATCTTAAAAATCTGGATTTTCAGTCAATTTAAGTAAATAAAAATATTATGTCTTCTAAAACTGCTTATTAAGATTTTTTTTAATAATTATTAATGACTTTATTTCGGTGTTATATTTTGTTTGTTATTGCTTTACAAATATAGATAGTGGAAGCATCTTTATGTTAAGCACGACAAATATCCTTCACGGGTGTAAGCGACGCGCTCATTAATATATTTCCTTCCACCTTGTTAATGTTATAAATGTTAGTGGGTAGTGAAATAATAAATCGCAAATATGTATAAGTAACAATTTCTTTCACGAGTTAGTGTTCTGCACCCAGCCGCGCTACACGGAAAAATTATTCTGGTATGTGTAACCATATTCTGGTTACCATTACAATATTTATTGCTCTATATGTGACGACCACTCGTATCGTAAGCGTTACACAATGATTCTAGTTAAACATGAATTGTAGTTGTCACATTGTTATTGTTAATTTTACTATTTAATTTTTCAGGTCTACAATCCTTTTTTGTCCTACCAACAAGAAAGTTTATGTTGTTAATCAAAAGTTTTGTAAATAACATATAAACGTTTAATTAAATTTACTGAATGGCATCGTTTAATTTACTACAAAAAAATTACTGATACGATTTGTTGTGTACCTCTGACAAATATTGTATTATAAATGGAACAGAATGATACGTTCACATTACAAAATGACTTGTAATGACAACAATAGAGTATTGTGTAGGTAACTTCTTATTTTGTAAATGGACCAGAAAAAGTAGTTGGCTTATTCCACCGGAACTGGCGGTAAAGACGTGATTGCTTAAAATATGCTTTTATTTCTCAAGATTCATTAAGTTTTCCGAGAAATAAAAGCTCTGAACTTTAAGCAATCACGTCGATACACGACAGTTCCCGCAGAAAATGCCAATAAAAGAATAACAATCAATAATAAGAATCAACACTTTTATTAATTAAAACGTAGAATCAATTAGAAGTAGCTGATACCCTGTCGGCTTTTTTAAAACAGGGTGCTCATTCATGTAGTCAGATACTGTTATATTTTTAGTCTCTTCAAGTCTAATCTTGAATGTATTTTTCCTTTTCTCTTCAACTGTTCCAAGGCTCCCTGGATTTTCTAAGCCACTCAAGGTCTTTATGAATATTTTCTGAAAATATAATATGATTCATGAACTTGGCACCGACAGATTAATGCCTAATGTGCCTGAAGTGGGAAATGGTAGCAAATATCTATACATATAATGAAATCGTAGGAAAGTCAAAACTGTACATTGAATATTTTGTAAAAAGAATACTTGAGGTGTGATCTACAATCGATATCGAAGCCAAAAATATAGTTTTTAGAATTTTTGTCTGTCTGTTTGTATGTTCGGGCTAAACTCAAAAAGAACTGCATGGAATTACTTAAAATTTTGCATGAATATTACTATGAGGTTGGGTCAACACATAGGCTACGAAAGCCACGCGGACGAAGTTGCGGGCAAAAGCCCTATATATAATTAAAAGTATGTAAATCAAATTCTTACTTGTGATTGATTGGATTGATTGTCGTTCTCAGAATCCATCAAGGTCTTCCAATTGTTTAAATTTTTAATAAAATTTACTCTATGTCCAACTGGTGGTATGAGCTACTTAATAATATGCGAGTCCAACAGCATTAAGCAGTCCATCATAATGTGGTTTTCTGAAATTAAAAATACATAATAATAAAAAAATATATAGATCAGTCAGCCCGGTACCTAATATCTAAAAAAGAGGTAAGGATTTACTTTTATATCCCAGTCCCACCTACATCTCACAACATAACATTTTGTATATTTACAAAGTTATGTACTCATACGCAGCTCTGGGAGAAAAAGATAAACAGCTGCCATCATTCCCGTGCAAGATCCAAAATCAGAGTATCAGACTGAAGGGAAAGGACATTTTAAAGTACTCTATTGAGGCGACAGGCTGATGAGCACTTGTCATATCACTACTCAGTAACACAATAAAAACATCTAGCTCCCTCGTCAGACGTGGCCGCTTGTGTGAATTACACCGTAGGGCTTTGCTTGCCCCGATATATGGGCGTGATTATAATTACCTATGTATGTAATCTAAAAAGTCAGGCGTATATCATTTATGATGAGTACATATGAAATAAATGAAACTTACCAGAGAACACATCCACATAACCGCTGAGAACCCAAGCAATAAGTAAGTTTCTGACATCTTCGTCCATTTCAATTTTAAAACAATAAAACACGATTAGGAAGCGTAATGGCAGCGATCGGCGGGCGATTATCCCATAGAATA